AACGCAGTGATTTAGACGTAATGTACCGGGGCTTGCCGTGTGCAACTTAATGCGTGAAGAACGAATTCAACCGCGACCTTTTGATATATAGGGTGGCGAATGTTACGATGACGATTATGCAGGACTATTATGAAATGCTCTTTTGCAAAATTCTCGGTACCTACTAATAAAAGACAACCCAGTTTTCAAATATGGTTCCATCCTCCTTAACTGTCCCCTCTCTTCAGGAAACCCGGCGATTTTTTCCCTTATGCAAAGAAATTCCCTTAAAGTCATTCTGAGAAGAAGAAAAAACATTTGTCCATTGTCTTTAGTTCTTGCTTTCGTTCTTAACCATCTAGGCAGCCCAACTAGAGAATTGATTTCCATCCTACTATCTTAACGAATGCAACGAAGGATTTCAGAAGAATATTCATCTGCCAGTAAGTTACATACCCAGGTTGCATCTATTGCCACTCATGTTGGCAGTCTAGGATTCCCTACGGCAGCAGATACAAGGGGCTACCCCGTTGACGAAAAAGACGTCTCCAACCACCCGTCACATACCACACATCGAAATGGACCTTGGGCATAGACCCGGAAGAGGTGTAGGGCAAATATTGTATTTGTGGGTTGCAACCGTAAGTGTATACAAGTAACTCCAATCATACATTTGCATATACCAGTCGGATTATTCGGAGGACAGTGGGCTCTCCTCCTTCTTATGTTGAGGTTGATCTGATGCCTGCATGCTTCCAGGTTCAAGAGTCTGGCCGGAGAGAAGAGGAGCTAACTATTTTCAGCGAATACCGACACACCGACAGACCTCGTGTGCGCTCAGCCCGCCATGAGCTTGCCTTCTTTGTCCGAGAAACATGGGGCGTTCCCCCTATTATCCAACTTTTTTTTCACTCAGATTACGCTCATTTCACGCATGGGACTGAGTGCCGTAATCATAATTGTAAAATACATTGAATTTGAACGCCCGGGTCTAAATTGACAACTTATGAGCAAGCCTTGCCACTCGTGTGCGAAGTCGGGTCGTGCCAACTAACTGGTAATAACTGGTCCTGCCACTATGTAGTGTTCTCTTCCTACCGCCTTTACCCCTAACAAATTGGAACTCTATATGTCTAGGGAGCAGGGATTACGAATTTCCATCCGAATATTTATTTCGCTCACTCCCCGTCCCCGTTGATGAAATCGTGTCCTACTACCTGTTGTCGTTGTTCCATTCTGCTGCCTGTAGTCCCGTCCAAGAGATCGGGAACTATGAATTTTTGGTAACACACGCACACGCTTGCCACAGGCACAACTAAAGGAACTGGCTACTCTGCCAAAGTTCGAAGCCACTACGACTTCTCCGAATCAATCTTTCATCCGTATTTGACTCAACTTCATAAGGGATTCGAAAGCTAGTTACCTACATTATCCGCATATATGCTATGCTAAGGTTTAGACTAAGATTTAGGCCGAATTCTAAACTCATTTAGTAGGGAGTTAGTTGTACAATGTCATTCAGAACTTATTTCCTACCAAACACCTTGAGAAATCGATCAATGATTCAAAATCCACCTTTGTTCACGGCCACCTTCCTCGGTTCATAGAATTTTTTGATACTTCTGAAGTAAAAACCTTCGGTCAAACCAACTGCAACGAACCGACATCCAACCTCGATTGGTGAATCAATTCAAAAGAGAGGTTTGTAGTAAAATTAACCGGTGAAATGCTCCGAGGAAGTTGTGAATGACTTAACGCCAGAGTTTGGCTAATTTTTATCAACCCTACCTCCTATGTGGACCTAAGCCTTAGCTCCTGGAGTGGTACTTTCTAGGGCAAGTAAATATTTTTTGAAAGGAAGAGTTGATTTACAATCACAAAAACCTCAAAAAAGCTGTGACTCCAAATACGGCTACACCTATGTGCTCAATACGCACTGGAATTTATATAATCCATAGGTTCAAAGGGACTTTGAAGGCAGTCATGGGTTAGTTTTGTTCTTTCGACGAAAGCTCGCGGCGACTATCGTCACCATGCTCCCAAAGGCGGACATCGTGTCAAAAACGCTCGTCAGATTCGGCGAATTAACACTTCTCTGTCTTTTCAATCCCGAGGGAACGGCGACATATGACAATGTTGACATGGCTTTTTCGTCGTCGAACTCTATGGGGCCGAAGTAGGGAGTCGCTAGGAAGCCTTTACGATGAGCTCAGTTTTCAGGCAGCCTTTGCGCTTCACAACCATGACCAGCAGCTCGCTAACATTCCCATCGGGAGGGTGTTCTCATTATCAGTGTTCGCAATCTACTCACTAATACCATTAGCTGTTTGACTCGGAGCGCCCTCGAATCCGCAAAATCTGCGCGCATTTGTCGACCTGTCAGAGCGCCAGATAGGCATTGTGGACGTGCATGAGGCGCAGACTTTCCACAACCTAGAGAGTGGAGCAGTCAAGGGTGAGTAGGCAGCAGTGAGAGTCATTCGTCTTGATTAATTTTAATAGATATATCAGTCGCATGAGCTCACAAATTGTCGCTTTATGGGTATAGAGAGCCGATACGAAGCTCTGAGCAGCGGTGAGAAAAAGTGACAAATGGATATGGATCAGCGCCGAAAGGGAATCTTCCAAACTCGGCTGGTTACTGTAGGTGTTTATGAGCTCGAAGTGAGTGTGCGGGCATAATAGCATTTCGCAATGGCTCAGACGACGTTCTTGGATCACTGTTAGGCCCGTTGTGTAAGGCCATAGGTGTCAGTGTTTACGGGCCAAAAGCATTTCCTCACAAGCAGAGTCAAGGTTTCGGAGGTATGAGTGGTGAGCAGCTGGTCGAACACGGGGTTAATTGAAGGTAATGTAGAAGTACATATGGAGGGATGGCCTGAACACTCATGCTTTTCTGGGGCCTTTTGTCTATGTAAAGCAATTCCAGCTTTCCTGAACTTTGTTCCTTTCATGGTTCCCACTGTTACTGCATACGTTAAGGACCTATAAGGAGTTCTTCTATAAAATCGCGAAAATGCAAATGAATAGGATAATAGATTCCTCCAGTTCCGAACGAGTACAACAATCCTAGGCACAAGCGCAGTTCAATTGATGTCATAATGGTTTCACGGATAGTTGCCTACATACCTGCTTCTTCTACTAAATAGTTGTCCATATACTGAAAATTTCGAAGAAAATGAACGAATTTTCGACTCGATCTGAAGTAGGGATGTCATCGATTCCCCCAGAAGTTCACAGTGAAACCCCCTAGAATTTTGAAGTGAAACCGAGGATACCGCTAACCTTGCTCAGGTGTGGCCAGAGTCATTCAGATCTGTGATTGTTTTTTGAAGATAATTAAACTGGTTCAGCCCGTACCTATGCAATAGTGTTGTCCATTTTGCATGTATGATCCGTTTTTGTTCGGCTCTCCCCGTCTCCATATGGGCACACTGTAATCGGTATTAGGCGAGACTATTGTAAAGTTCGCGAAGCAATTCGGGCCGCTGCGACTGGAGCTGGTATTCATGGCGCGAAATTGGAATCAGGTGATAAAATGATATTTTATGGCGTAACGACCTCGTGTCGGGTGTCATCCAATTATGAGAATCGCCCATTTCGTCGCAGTGTTCTTGAGTGTGTCCGCTCGTAAACTCACCGCCGAGCGCCTTCTCAGTAGCAAAAACAGCGCGCGGCGCAGTGCAGCGCACAATCACAGCTACCGTATCGTACCCGTCATTCAGGCGAATCATCATCTGCGCCACCGTCGTCGTTGGCGTGCGAATCCGCATTGTACGTAAAACACATCATACGCGGCGATAAGGTGCCATCATCCACAGAAAACCACTAGCTGAGGAATGCGTCAGTCTGTCTATCGCTGATGAGCTTGTTTGATGAACGGTTCAGGTGCGCAGGCTTTCACGCCCTATGAAATGAACACAGCTTCCCCTTTTCGCTTTCACGCTCTTTTGCTATGGCGGTCATATCTCGTGACGATCAAGTGTGAATAGTGGAAGTATTCCATCATGCTGTCGCCCACTAACCGCGAGACGTTATCGCACCACCATCACGGCCGTTTCCCCAGCGCCGCCGCTCTCGTCGGCGTGCACAGCCGAAATCCATTTCTGACATGCTAATTCAGGCATCAGATACACATCTGAGTAGGGCAGTGGAGTCTGCTAAGAGGATGTCGGAAAGATTGGGGACAAGTGCTTTTCAACGACCACCAGATGAGCCACAACGGGAACCGTACTTCTGACTTCTGTCGGAGCTTACCGCCCATCCGTGATAGTGATGCGTGGTTTAGTGGTAGTCGGCTGGTATACGACCTCCTATGTCTTCACCTCTTTTTATGGCCACCCCATCGGCCTCCTCCTGTGAGGCGCATGCACGGTCATCTTGTCATTACCATATGTACAGATTACTAATCTATCTGAGTATTCCTAGATCGAGAAATTGGTAAGGGAGTTGCCGAGTGTTTTGACGGGACGGCGGTAAAACGATCGTTTTGCAACGGATTATCTGCGATTACTCGAGGGATTAGGGGGTGGCTCGGAACAACTGGCCGCTGGTGCGACATTTCTCACTTGAGTTATTGTTCAAATGGTCACAGTACAGCAATTACGACCAAACGAGAGCGGATCATCTACTCTAATATTCAATATCCTTATCATCTGGTCGATCATGAGTGACTTTGCTGTCGCATGTTTAGCATTTAACAGTTAATAAGTTGCAATAATAGTTGAAGCACAATTCTTACACACTTCACACCAAATCCTCGATCTATTGATCTTTCTTATCCTAAGCTTTCCAATCAATGACCAACAGTGAGCCACCGTATCCCCGTTCTCACCTGCTTTGCGTTTTTGCTGGTGTTGAAAGTGGGCGCGACGTCTACTGCCATTGGTCAGCCCCGCCTCATTTTAGCGGCTTCTCCAATCGCACCGGCGAGGTCAGTAACAATGGCGAAGCGCGAGCTGGAGCAGTCGACAACGACGAAACGAGAGTTGGAGCAGCCCAGCTGTTCTGGCTCGATTTCATGCTCTAGTGCTAAACGTGCACGATTCTCCATTGACACACTGCTAGAAGAACGCCACAGTCCACCTGAATACTCCGACTGTTCTCCCTGCCCATCGCCTAACTTTCCCAATCACGATGCCAAGGCTGCTCTATCAAAATCTGTCGCAACCTGCTCCACGAGCACGACCACGTCTGCAAGCAGCGATCGGCTTGACGGTATTGAATGCCGTCTCGAAGGGGCTGAGCTGTGGGAGAAGTTCTACGAGCTCGGGACAGAAATGATTATCACTAAAAGCGGACGGTGAGTTCACTTTTCCTCAACCTCTTTCTTTTATAATCTTTCTCCGAATAACAGAGTTTTTCAACTCCCTCGAATCGATCCGTTTTTTCTCTCAGCATTTTCTAAAAGCCGTCTTCATCAGCTTATTAATCATATGTATTGATTTCTATAACTTCACTCACACTCACTGTCAGTAGAATCATGAGCCCTTTTAATTAGCTTTCATACTGAATGAAATATTGTTAGGCGGTTTTTTGAGATATTCTTTAGCACTGGCTGCTTTGTGGAATGATCTTTCAGTTTGGGAGCGGACAACCCTCATCAGGATAATGCTGGCCGTCAAAGTGTTAATTACCGTAGCTTCCATTTGCAAAATTTGTTTTCCATGTTCTCGGGGACGTGGTTGCTTAGGCGCAGCGGTCCACGACGATGCCTCCATGCAGCTCATTCTGCTGATTGCTTGCCAATGACGGCTTAAATGAGTAGCCATTAGCGAAAATGAAACTTACCCTGGGAAGACTGGTGCGAAAAGTGTCCTTAGCCCTTCGGAAGATTGAACGAATCTGCTTGAAGCTGTAGACCTACGAAATTACTACTAGTACGTTTCGTAGGTCTACAGCTTCTTTCGAAATCACCAGGTGGCAAATTCTCCACAAAAAAAAAGAAGCCAAATCAAATTCTTCTTGTAGGCCTCTTTATTTCTCTTTATTTCGGACATTGGTTCACTACAATTTTATCTCTTCTTAAAGCCCTCGAAAAAGAAATTAAGTTGTAGTAGAACTTGGAATGTGTGCCAAGTAATTTTCACCTTGGTCAGTTATGCAATTAAGAAATCTTTCGAAGCATTCACAGCACTGATTTTATTAGTTATTAGTACTTTGAGTTATTTTATAAGCGAATATTTTTTCATAAAGAGAGTAATGAGAAAACATCCTGTGCTCTGGAATGATTTGTGTATGTTTCTTCATGGAAGCGAAATGTTTACAGAAGGTAATTCTCTGAAAAATTTATCACGTTAAGAAAACCACGAAAAAATCTATTTTTTTTAGTCTAAGCTCTCTACACTTGATTTCACTCTGATCCAGGGCTGAGTCTTTGGTCTGGGGGGATTGCAGAGAATTTTCACTAAATCGGGCTCTATCCTGTCGATATGATAAGGCCACTACTTGAAAACACTCGACGTTGCTGCACTCGCCACAGCTCACAAAATCACTAATTTGCCGAGGCCTCCTGAAATCACCTGTTCAGATGGGAACTATTTTATAAGAAGATTGTCCTAGATTGCTACATAAATTCACCAAGCAGCTGGAATCGATTTCTATTTTCCATGGAGGTAACTGCATAAAATAGACTGAATGGCATTCACCCATGAATATTTTGACTAGTTCTGAAGAGTTCTCCACTAAAGTCACCCTATACCCCTGTGTTGCTGTGAAACCTTTCCCAACATTAATATTCCTTAACTTAAACTCCATAACGGTAGATCTGCTCAATATGAGTTTCTCTTTGTAAAGGGAGCCCAGCTACGTCAACGTCCACAATCTATGCTTCTACTTCTCTACCAATGGAATACTACCATCTGATGGAGTCCTGCTTTATCACGCTTTCTATCTTCTCGGTAAATCGAGATCGATGAAGGGGTTGCGGTAATCACTACATTCCCACTACTGGCGTTACTACTTCATGGCTTCATATCATACTTCAAGAAAACCATAAAGCAGCACCTTAGATACTTCTTATTGACGGGTCTGGAAAACAATTTATTTGGGTCTCTCAACAGAACAGATTTGTCATCAACTGTTTTTTCATCAACCGGGCTGTACCTTGACATGATTCCCCAGAATTCAAAGACCAAGGGCTCTCTAACATCGCGTGTAAAAAATAAAACCCTAAAAATCAGAATTTTCGGTAAAGTTCCCTCATGAACGGCTTTACAGTGCTCATAGCACATAGGAATCCGCAACGTCTTTACGAAAAAGCTTCCAAAATTCAAGCGGACAGCACAAGTGATGAGTTCCCCTCACCCTGACTTGAAAGTGCAAAGCAACTCTGGAATTCTCCCTGGCTATCACTGAGTGAACCGCAAAAAATTCGCTGCTGTTAACGATGATGCTAAATGAGGATTATCCGTGAGTGATTCACCCGGACCTCTCTGGTCCCTAGGGACGAATGAAGTGGTCCGATTTCATGCCAATTTGGTCATCTTCCTCCAAAGGAATTTCTGCAGAATTACTCCAGTTGAATCTAGTTGGAAAGCGGTGGAAAGCTGTCTGCGACCAGTTCACCATTACTAAGTCTACCGTAATACCGTCAACCAGGTGCTAGCGCGATAATGTCCGTGCGTGGTTCAAAACGAGTCTTTTGATGAGCGAAGCAGGCGATTCGAATTCCTCTTTGTGACTGATTCCATTGATTGGATTGCATTTTATGCTGCGTCGGCATCCCTTTTCGTTTGCTCCCCGACAAACCCGTCGATCAATAAAAATCGATAAAAAGTAGATTTCTATTATGGGCTAAGAGAACCAAAAGTTCTATGCTCTGCCAGGTTTCAAACGATCGGTCTCAGTGAAAGACGTATGGTTCTGAATAAAGTTTTCCTAAGCTAGATTACGCAGGTGAAGTTTACCGTATCACGAGTTCTGCCCGATGCAGCTGAACACGCTTGGTCTGAACTGGCCGGAACTCAGTAGTTGTTTCAAAGGAACACTTGCACCGTACAATTTCAATGGAATCACAAAATACTCTCGATGCTCTCCATTGGCTCACTCCCATGACTGGAGTGAATTCACCATCCCGAAAGATTCTCATAAAAACAGTCTTTAGTGAATTTTATCGGAACTTTCTGCTGAAGCTGAATTGCTTCATGAACAGATATCTATGAGTATATAGAAAAATTTACTTGAACCCATCATGTGACGAGCAAGTGTCTTGCCAGTTCCATCAGAATTCTAATCTTAACGCTAAACTGCTCGTGAATAGTGTTTCAACAGAATTAAATGGGGAAATCACTTCTTCTATTTTTAGCCATGTAGATCAGGCTTCAATTGACCATAGTGGGTCTCCATCCATCCTAGTTTGTCATAAGTAAAACAGTGTTAAAGACCAGATCGCCTCTCCTAAAGCACCTTGGAATACAAATTCTCATCTTCACCAGCCCACTTCTCTGTAAAAGGACTAGAGCAACATCACAAACATTTTCCCTCTAATTGGCCGATATTGACCAAGAATACCCTCTTCAGCGAGGAAGCTTTAGCAATCTTTTTTGTCATACCAGAATACCAGCAGTTGTGTGGCACTTTCGTTTTCAAATCGTCCAAAAACTTCAAATTCTCACAGAAAGGAAATCATCGCTCCATTAATGTAGGATGTCAGTGCATCCACGCGATGGTTACTGAGAATTGTCGTCTTGGAGTTCACTTGGGCTCGAAATCAGTTGTGTCTGGACTCTTTGACAAGGTTCCTTGTTCAAGGTCCATTGTGCAGTGCAGCGTTTTGATGCATTGAGTATTCATTAGGTGGTTAATAACTCATGGGGACATCCGGATGACATTATTTTCGGGAGCACCCAGTTGGAGTGTTCATAGAACAGAATACACCGTTCAGAGGTTGAGCGGTTTGTGGGAAAGTATCTTGGGTTGTAAAGGCTCACTCCTCAAAGGTGTCTATCGAAGATTGCATGATGCCAATGCAAATCTGTCGGCACTTGCGGCTCTTTGGATTAGGTACGTAGGTCCACATTGGTTGAGATTACAGATGCAGTTCACTTGCAGCGCAGTAACGTGAAATCAAATTACTGGTAGCAGTGTGAGGGCTACGGCTACTTCAACCACTAGTGCTAAATGAAAAGAGTTTGTCGCCCGTTCCAATGTTAATTTGAGGGACTGTATGGGCTTGATCTCGTTACTACCGTCTTTGCATGGTGTACAAATGCGGTGCCAGGGTGCTGCCAGTGAATTAAAGGAATAACTAATGCTTGACTGATAGTCAGCTGTCTTTGACAGTTTCTGCACAGCGAAACCTCCAATAAGTCGCAATATACATACAGTTGGTGGCTTACATTGAACGCAGTGATGGGCTTTGAGCATAGCTTTCTGCATCTTTCAAAGTAGGTCTCTACTCCTTCGCCACTCAGAGCACTCATGGCTAAAGTTTTGTGATTCGTTGAACAGCAAAAATGTTGATGCGGATTCCTGTATCAGCGACGAAGAAAGCGAAATCACCAGCAGGGACTTCGACATACAAGTTTTCTTCTGATGTTGTACTGAGACCTGCCTACGAAAGGGTGTTGAGACAAGGGGGGGACGGAACATTCACCCAGAACTGAATGGACGCGGCAGGTGGCGCGGCTAGATTCGTGGCGTTTAAGATGACTTTGGCCCCTATCATTGGGGCGCAAACTTGAAGTAGAGTAGATTAGTACGGTCAGATGATACTACCAATCTACTCTATTTCAGATTTGGGCCCAAATGGTTAGCGCTAAAGTCGGCTAAGTCGCAACGAATTTCGCTGCGCGATTTGCCGCGTACATCCAGTTCTGGGTGAATGTACCCATACCCAGACAAGGTTTCGGTCACTGTCAAGCAACATGTGCAGTTGCGTAATAAGGAGTTTTCTACAGTATCGCTGAATTCACATTCAGCCATTGCGCCGATGCTCAGTTCTCACAAGCGTGTTCCACTTTGCATTGCGCTCCAGTCCTAAAAATTATTTCATCTCTATGGTGAATCTGGAAGACCTATCGCTAGTTGAGCAAGCGACTACTGTCGCGGGCCCTTTACCTTACCAACAGACGAGTAAATTCCTTTCAGTTCACTGTGGACTTTGCTTCCAGTTTTAATGGTTCTGATAGTTGATTACTTCCGTCTCTGAACTTCACCCTACTTCATGCTGGAGTATTGTTTCGGAAATGGCGGAAGTGGTGCAAATCCAATCCCAGATCGATACTCTCCCAGACCAACCGAGTCTTCCGACTCTTTAGATTCGGTTAATTGGTGCGAGGTTCGCGTGGGAGGATAAAATCACTGAATTGGATGTATAACACATTTGATGTAGGTAATAAATGCATTCAAAACGACGGTACAGTCCTTAATAAGAGTCCAATGCCGGGAGGCACATCTGAAAACTGGACTCATTAACGTTGGAAACTTCATCTGTTGTCCATTTCTTGTTTCGAAGCCGTCCCCTAGCTATCGTACTCCAGTATCGATATATCACTCAGTCCTCTAATCACAATATATTTTGCATTCATACATTTTCAGTTCGGAGTCTGTGTCAGAAATCTGCGCTGCGCACTCACTCTCTAAGCACAGGCACCCAAATTTCCCTTTCCCATACGTGAGCGCCCGATGCGGCAGCGTACTGTAAGGACACGCGATACGACTGACCATTCCTCCCCCTGTGACCACGCTCCGACAGGTTCCTGCGACTTCGTCTCGGTACCTGCTGAGTGAGCTGGATTGTTTGCTGCAGTTTACAAATCCTTCCATAACCAAATGTGGGGGTATCATTAGCAACCCGTGACATTGATCTCAGCAGGTCCTACCTAGAAAAATGGTACGCCGAGGTATTGCAACAAAGGATAAAACTAAAAACGAGCTTAACCATGAATCTAAAAGCGACGTTCATAAATGATAGTGGCTCTAGAAAGTTCATTGATTCATCAGAAGGTGAGTGACGTCAGATTACTAAAACTGGGGTTTCGACGATTGCCTTGACGGCCATTGGCTTGTCAGTTGGTTCAAAGGAGTCTGCATCCGCTCTTATGTCCAACTAAATGCTACCCATCACTTTTGGAATTCTATTGTAGTCACTGCTTGCTTGCTCTCTGAAAAGATGGGCGTCATATACATCAAAATCTTTTGCGTTCTAGGAGGTTTAGAGCCTTCACGACAATTTCAAGAATACACCTCAGCGGCCCATTACTTCAACCATTTGCTGGTACGATTTAGGCATCACAACTTATTTAGTCGAATTGAAAGTTGCCTCTTACAATCTGTACGTCACGATTTAGGGCAAGAATGACGAGGCTCCTCTATTCCTTTTGAAAACTATTTGAAAAGTTCTAATTCACTTCTGTGAACACGCTCGACATGCACTCGTAGAGCTCTCGATCATTCCGAGATAATTCCATGACAAGGCTAGAGGTAGTAAGGAGTGGGTGTTACCGTATTCCAGGGGGTGCGATCGACTTTCGACCAGCAAGGAGAGTAGAGCGATAACATTGTAAATTGGCTACTTATGCTAATCAGTAGAAGAACTCAAACCGCGCTTACAACCACTTAGAATTAATATATATGGCGGAGAGGCAGATAACGACTCAGGGGAAAAATGTCGAAAATCGCGACTTTGGCCAAACAGAAGAACAGATGGTGGACCCCCAGTCCTTCACTAAATTCGATAGCGACATACTACTACTACTTGTTGATCGAAGCCGCTGGAGCTGGCGCTCAGTTAGAGAATGTTTCTTATGTGAACATGCTGCTGCTGCCTAATTCGGCAACCAGTCAAATTCCGCCCTGGGACAGAGGTCCTAGGCGGGTGTGGTGCGTTAGGAACGAAACGGTCGCGTCGCGTTGAAAGGAGCGTCGCACGCGAAGGAATGTAGCAGGATGCAGCAGTAGGTAAAAGATACAAGAACAAAAGCACTAATAGTAGAATTATGCATAAAATAATGATCGCATGTCGATTGGGTTATATGAAGAACGCTAGAGCTGTAATAACGGCGAATGAGTGGTCCGCGACAGTCGCGTGCGGCGAATCGATTACCCAAAATCGTTCCTAACGCCCGTCTCCCGTCCTAGGCTCTTGTTTTCGACTTACTTATCTGAACCTTTTCATCAGAAAGTTCTGAGAACAGTATTTCAGGCGGATGTTTCCTACGGTGAAAGTCTCCATTTCTAATATAGACACAGATGGACTCTATTATGTGTTCCTTGACGTTATACCTGTTGATAATAAACGGTAATAATATTTTTTATCATCGAAACATTTCTTTGAACTTGTTAAATACTCATATCTAGATATCGCTATATTTACAACAAATCTGCTTGGTTAACTGCCGGAAAGGCGGAACCGGCTCCGAAAAACCGATTATATCTGCATCCAGATTCACCGTACACCGGTGAGCAGGTAAGTTCCACATAGCAGTCAGTTTCTGCCCCTTTCATTTACGGCACTGAAAAGGACTATGATTATTAGGAGAATATTTCAGTTACTCAAACAGGTCGTTTCATTCGAAAAAGCGAAGCTCACGAACAACGAGATCGATAAGGCGGGCCATGTACGTTCCTAAAATAATCATTTGAAGTCTTTTAGGGGGAAGATTTTCCGAAAAATTTCAACGTTGCACTTTTATCAATGAGCTTTTTAACAAAATTGTCACCAGCAGTAGGGGCACTTTATTTCAGGAAAAGATGAGGTTGAAGTTGAGACAACAGGGCAATGATCATCGTCATAACCCTACTTTTATAATCCGCTAAGTGTGTTTGTTGGTGTGTTTGCATTTGTGTGTGTATGAGTGTGTGTCTGTCTGACCGAAATTTCACAACTCCTGTATCATTGGATCTAGAGCAATCAAATTTGGTAGGAGCACAGGCGGTAGGATAGGAACACCTATGGTGAATAGCAGGACCGAACCTTACCCACAGGAGGCGTCGTTTGCGCCGCAAAGTAATTATTCGGAAGTAAAGCGGAAGTTCGTATCTCCTGCCCTACTTTACCTAGAGCCTCAAATTTGGTTGGAGTACAAGCGGCACGATGGGAACCCTCATGCCGGGGCTCACTCGCACAATGTTAATTTGGGCCCAGAGCGTTCAACTTCGGAGGGAATAAAGGAGACAGGATGAGGACGCTTATGGTAGGTGGCATGACCCGACCTACCCTCGGGGCCGAACTTGCGTAATTTCAGTGAAATTGCGCAGTCAAGTTGGAGGAAAAGGGAATCAAACAACTCTTTTAAACACATATGAAATGAGCGGAACCCCGCTAATAACGGGGGAGGCGTTCACGGAGTGCGTCGAGTAATGGGGCGCGTGTTCAGCCAAGAATTTTTACCTCTGGTACACATGTACAACTTCTCAGAAACTTTGCTGTGCTAAATATTCCGCGTGAAATACTTATTAAACAAAGTTCCTTCATTCAGACTGAACCCGTAACAAATTTCTTTTATCGAAAAATAAATTCAGGTCATCTGTGAGTAAAGGAAACCAATCGTGGGGAAGTAAGGCCTTCAGAATAAAGCGTACGCAGTCAATACGACGACCTTGTCCACTTTATGAACGCGTAGTCCAGCACTAGAAAATACAAGCAGACGAACATGCAAGGGTAGTGTTAAAACGCGCGTCCCTGATGTTGAACGAGAACGTTTGTCACCTTTCGCGACTCAAACTTCACGAAGTCTCTGTTCTTGTGCTCTAGCTTTTCAATCCTATCTTTTCCCATGGTCCTTACCTTCGGCTACGTTTAATCTCTCTTTTTTAGTTGATTCTCAACTCTATGCACAAATATCAACCTAGAATCCATATCGTCAGACGAAATAAAGGTCAACACCTGGATCACAACAAGGTTAGCGAATTCTCGACATTCTATTCGATTTTCATCATAATGACAATGCATGTGGTTGATATTCCAGATAAATCTCACCGAAGAAGTCCATCGAACTTTCGTATTTCCTGAAACTCAGTTCATGGCCGTGACAGCCTATCAGAATCAATTAGTACGTTGAGGTTTCTATCAAAGTTATCGCGTCTCTATGTTGAAGGCACAGTTCACGATGAATTTGGGTAATCCAGATTATGACGAAAAATGGAAGACAAGATCCAAAGTAGTGCGATGAAGGTGAAGAAACTTTTAGAACTCGGTGTTTCCATAAAGAACTCGGAGTTTCCAAAGTGAAAAAGGCTCCGAAAGTCAACAAGGGGGCTGGACGGGAATGAGACCAGAAAATTGGAGAAGAGTGGGGCCTTCGAACGAGCTATACAATGTGTTTCACTGCGGGCATGTGGGTCCTGGTGCGAATAACAGACTATGGTAAGCAAAAATTCATTCACTTATAAGCATAAGTAAACAAAAAACCTTAGTAACAGCAAAAGTAGCTCACATTTTTCGGCCTCCAGGAGTGGGACATTAAATAAGGGATCGCGGCAGCAAGAAGAATAACAGAAGAAAAGAGAATGGGAAAAAACATCGTCTCATCACTCGGCGATCAGCTGATTGTGTGTGGGTAATTGAACGAATAGTTGCAATCTCTATTGTCTCGATACTCGTCTGACGTGACAT